CATCCTGGTAAAGCTAATATTGTAGCGGATGCTTTGAGTCGAAAGACGGTAACAGAGTTGAGATCTTTAATGGCCAGGATGAATTTATATGACGATGGCACTCTGTTAGCAGAATTACAAGTTAAACCGACCTTGGTTGATGAGATCAAAGCTAAGCAGCCCCTTGATAGCTCCTTGCTTTCCATATTTGAGCTAGTTGAGCAAGGGACAAGCTCAGATTACGCCCTTGATCAGGATGAAGTTTTATGCTTCAAAGGTCGATATTATGTGCCGGATGATGCTGAGTTGAGGCAGAGTATCCTCACGGAGGCTCATAGTAGTCCATATGCTATGCACCTCAGTGGAGATAAGATGTACCGGAATTTGAGAGAGAGGTATCATTGGGTCGGCATGAAGAAGGACATTTCGAATTTTGTGGCTAGGTGTTTGACTTGTCAGCAAGTTAAGACAGAACATCAACATCCATCAGGTTTGTTACAACCTATCAAGATTCCGGAATGGAAATGGGAGCGTATTACTATGGATTTTGTTACTGGTTTACCTATGACTCATTCGAAAAAAGATTCAGTTTGGGTGATTGTTGACAGACTTTCAAAGTCAGCTCACTTCATTCCTGTGCGGGTAAATTATACTTTGGACAAGCTGGCGAGATTGTATATTTCAGAGATTGTCCGATTACATGGTGTTCCATTGTCTATTATTTCTGATCGAGATCCGAGATTTACTTCGAGATTTTGGAAGGTGCTACATACGGCTTTGGGAATAAGATTGGATTATAGCACATCCTTTCATCCATAAACTGATGGTCAATCTGAGAGAGTGATTCAGATTCTGGAGGATATGTTGCGGGGTTGCGTAATCGATTTTCATGGTAGCTGGGAGAACTTTTTGCCTTTGGCTGAGTTTGCTTACAATAACAGTTATCAGACCAGCATTCGTATGGCACCTTATGAAGCACTCTATGGGCATAAATGTCGCACTCCGATCTGTTGGACTGAGTTGCGTGATAGGAAAACGCTGGGACCTGAGTTAGTGCGAGAGACGGAGGACACAGTCAGATTAATCCGTGACCGTCTGAAAGAGGCATTTGATAGGCAAAAATCTTATGCAGATCAAAGGAGGAAGGATATACAGTTTGAGGTTGGAGATCAGGTCTTTTTGAAAGTTTCACCCCGGAAGAAAGTATTGAGATTCGGGCGTAAGGGTAAATTGAGTCCAAGATTTATTGGACCATTTCGTATCTTGAAGAGGTTAGGACCTGTTGCATATCAGCTTGAGTTGCCTTCTGAGCTAAGTCGTATTCATGATGTCTTTCATGTATCAATGTTGAGGAGATACCATCCAGATCCAGGTCACATTATTCAGGTTGAATAAGTAGAGCTGAGACCTGATTTGTCATATGAAGAGGAGCCCATTCAGATCTTAGAAAGAGATGAGCGAGTTCTTCGGAATAGGCGCATTCCAATGGTCAAAGTTCAGTAGAGTAATCGTAGCCCCTCAGAAGCTACTTGGGAGATATTGGAGTCAATGGAGACTCAATTTCCTCATCTATTTTCATAAGGTAAATTTCGAGGACGAAATTTCTTGTAGAGGGGGAGAGTTGTAACAACCCGATTTTCAAAATAATATTTAATTGAAATAAGAGGTTAATTGTGAAAATTGGTAAATTGTTGGTGACTAAATCAAAATTTATGAGAGTTTATAGGCCATTTTAGAAGTGAAGGAAATCCAAGGACCAAGCCTTGAATTTACCCTAAAAAAAACTGTCGGCAACTTTGATTATAAGCGTGCATTTGGTTCTGATTTTTCAGAACCAAAATGCTCCCAATTTTCCTTTCCCATACGCAGTTTCCAACTCCGATTCTGACGCAGTCCAAATTCCGATCATCGTTTTAAAACCACCGTTGTGTTCATCATCGAGCGTGGAACAAATCCTTCAATTTAATTGAAGCGAAAACGCGGCCAAACGTCGGGAATTTACAGTCAAAGTAGCGACGTTTTTATTAGCTCTATCACCGAGAAAATCTTAAATTCACCGCTGATCGTTGCTCCGTTTACGACACCTCCCGCACCATCGTGTTCCTTGTGCCGTTCCGAGTCCACCGGTGTTCCCCTTTTTCTTCGACAACGGCGGCGCGTGGGGAGGTGAACCAGTCAAACTTCCCGATTTGATGAATTCGAGCTCTCCGCCGTTCAAAAATTTGAACCGAGCTTTGTAAGTATCTCGAAAATGCTCAAAATAATTTTTAGAAATTGTTCCGTAATTTTTAGAGCCCCGGAGGACACCTCACTCGCCACACGCGCCGCCGTAGGGCGAGTGAGTGACCGGTTCAACCGGTTTTCTTAAGGGTTTGACCGATTTGACCGGTCACGACCCGACCCGTTGACCCGACCCGATCGTTGACCGTTGACCGGTGCTATTCTGGTAAATAATTCAGTTTTGGTGCTATTATGGTAAATAATTTGGTTTTGGTGCTATACTGGTAATTAATTCGAAATGGGTGCTATTTTGGTAATTATTTTAAAAAGGTACTATTTGTGTAAAATGTTAACAGTTTGTTGACCTCCTTTGACCAGAACTTTGACCGGCTTTGATCGGCTATTAAACGATCGTTAATATTTTCCTAGTATACCTATCTTGATAGTTTTCGACGTGCCGAATCCGTTTCCGTGGTCCGTTTTGTCAAATTCAAACCTGAAGGCCTCCAAATCGACGGTCAAATTGGTTGACTTTGACTTTGACCAAGAATTTAAATTTTCGGAAAGTCATACTTTATGTTTTTCGACGTCCGAATTCCGATTCCACAATCCGTTTGACCAAATTCAGACTCGAAATACCGCAAATTGATAGTCAAACCCTGAAAATGCTTATATACTTAAGAATTTTTGCTTTGAACAATTAAGTAAGATTTGGGGCTGGTAAATTATTATTGTTTGAAGGTACAAGAGACTATCCGGATAGTTCGACAGCTCGACCCAACTCTTCTAGATCAGTTAAACCACGTGTGCCAGTATTCACCCGTAAGACCCGTAAATTTTATGATTTTAGAGATTTATTTATGTTACCCATAAGTAATATAGTGTTACTATAAAATAGGTTCGAAAACTATAGCAGAGCGTGGTGAAACTAACAATCAGTAGATCTATTATTGAACCTATTATCGAGGTGTGTTCCCTACTTATTACTGAACTGTTTTATTGGTTTTAATATGTGGTACACCGAATTCATTGGTTATTGTTTTATGGATGCACCGATTTAATGTGACAATTTATGGAATATGACTGCTATCTAATTTTTGTTTTGAAATGGTATATGATTACCATGTTTTTGGATTTATGGAATTTATGTCACGGTGCAATTGAATTTTGGAATTAAATTACGATGGAATAGCTCTGATCAAGCTAAATGGGCCTAATGTGACTCTTGAGGGTCCCAAGATGTTTCATTAGGTTGGCTTTCCTTTGCTGTGTGCTTAGGGTAAGCTATATGGACTTATTGACTTGGGCTTAAGGATACAAGCTTCATAGTCTATCCTTAAGTCGGCTTTCTTTTTGCTATGTGCATAAAGTAAGCTATATGGAAAATAATTTTGGGAACTACTGATGGTGTACCAGAAAAGGGTTTAAACGATGATTTTCAAAAGTTAAACTCTTTTACGAATTTGTGAGATTTACTGGACTATGATTTGTACCTATGGTGATTTTATGGAAATGTTGGGACACACTGAGCTTAGCTCACCTTTTGAAAATGTTTTCCCCCTTACAGATACTGTTGGTTAGATATCTCGGTTCGAGCACTTGGAAGATCAACATATCTCCTGAAGTAAATCAGATTATAATGTTTTTATTTTGCAAGTTGACTTTATTTTGGTGACATGGACCTTATTTTAAAATATCGGATTTTATAATGATGACTCTTTTGCTATTACTGTTCGGTTTATTGTGATTTTGAATTTGAAGACATGTTTTAAATTAATTTATTACTTATTGATACTATATTTACGAGTTGGATTTTGATAGTATAATTTGTTTATAATTTCATGTTATTTATAATGTGATTTTATATTGATGGAATAACGGTTTCGGAAAATGTCTTTAATAATCATAATTTGATCCACTAGACTTAGTCGAAACGCATAGGTCGGGTCTAGGGGATTACATTAAGAGTTTGCTAATTTTTTAAATTACGAGTACCAAATTGAAATTCAAACTAAACGTTAGACATGATTTTAAAAAAATAAATTCCAAAATAGAATAAAAATAATAATTTAAATACTAAACTTATAATTTATCTAAATTTTTTTATAATTTTTATATTAATATAAAAATTAAAATTATAAATTATAACAGGGGCGGCCCCCTTAATCCCCAATGGTTCTCGGCTGCTGAAAACAAACGCGTAGTGCGTTGATTTTTCTGTTTAACCAAAAGAAAAATAATAAAAAAGGCTTTTTCTTAATACTACAAATTTAAAATTATTAATAAATGTATAAGAAGTATTTTAGCCCTCATATTAAACTTAAATTATCAATATTGTTTCTTTACAAAATATATTAGTAATGTTTTCTAAAGCTTTTAAAATTTATTAATATTATAATTTAATCGATAAAATTTATAATTGATCATATTAATGTTGTAGTTAATAATGTTATTGTAACCGTCCACACTAACATAATGGACCTCAAGTTCAGGAATGTTGTTCATTTTCATTATATTGAATTAAAAGGTAAACAAACTTCCGAACACTGATCAAATTTGTATTAAAAAAAAGAAGGAAGGAACGGCCCACTTTCATTTTCACTGTATTCATCTTCTTTGGTCAAGCGACGCAACTTGAGCGCCAATCATCTGGATGTGAGTCTAGACTAGCACAAACCAATCATTTCATCAAACCACGTATTCCAGTCATCTTCTCTTGAGGTGCAATCATCAGAACGTGGCTTCTTAGAAGTTCTTACACTTGATTTCCCATATCAGCAAGCACTTGGCGAAAGCAAACTAGTAAAGATTAACCCCCACCTTCAAACGTATTGAAACCCTGCGTTTTGTTCCAGAAAAACAGGGTTTGATTTGATCGGAAGGTGTTTGAGAATTGGACCCAGGCAGCGAATGAAATCACTTTTTTCTGGGTGAGATTTTTTTTTTAGTGAAATGGAAGAAAACAGAACTCCTTTGTTGGAAAGAGAAGAATACTATGAAAGCTGCCCAGGTTGCAAGATGGATCGTCTCAAACAAGAACAAACTGGGGTCCCATACATGTTCTTGTCTTTTATTTGGATTGTCTCCCTCTGTACTGGTAAGTACTTCATAATTATATCCATATACGTGTTTAAAACAAAAGTTCGAGCTTTTTTCCAGCACAAGTTAATGATATTGTGGAGAAAAATCTCACAATTTTGTCTTAATCAAAGCACTGCAAAAGCATGATATCACAGCGATTCCTTGCGATTTTTCAAAGTAAGATTGAAGTGTTACTGATTATTGCTTTTGGGTTGTCTCTGTCTCTCTGAATGTAAATAAGCAAACCATTTTAGCTTCCTATACTTTGCTTTTCTGTATCTCGAGCTCTTCTTAGAAATGTCTTATGATTAGCTTTTTTGACTTGGTTTTTTTTTGGCTGTCTGTGAGTTTTAACACTCGTATCTTATTATTGTTACATTTTTCAGCTTTGCAAATAGCATCACTATTCCCTTTTCTTTACTTTATGGTATGTTTTCTGCCTCTGAAAAACATGAAAAGTCTGTTTTTATTGTTAGTTTTCTATAATTAAAGATGCTACTTTGGAAACAAAAGTGTCATCACGTGTCTATGGGTTTTTTGGTTGGCAGATCAGAGACTTTCATATTACAAAAAGAGAGGAAGACATTGGCTTCTATGCAGGATTTGTGGGTAATAAATATCTAATCCCAACATTCAGCAGCTTTTACAAGCTGGTAACTTGGATTTCAGATTGACATATTAGTATTAAATATTACCTTTTCTTTTCATATCAGGGTCTTCATTTATGGTTGGAAGAGCTTTGACATCTCTTTTCTGGGGAGTGGTTGCTGATCGATATGGCCGTAAACCTGTTATATTGATAGGGATATTTTCAGTGTTAAGATCCTTTTCATCAACTACCTTGCAAACTTATTGCTATAATTTAGAACATGAAGTCATTTGACACACGTGATTGTCAATTGGTAATTGCATCACCAGTCCACAAGTTTTGGATTTCAGGGTTGTATTCAACACTCTCTTTGGCCTTAGCACAAGCTTTTGGATGGCACTGTCCATGAGATTCCTTCTTGGGTGTTTCAATAGTCTACTTGGCACAGTAAGAGTATGTGTTCCATGTATGCATTTTATCACCTTTTTATCACCTTGACTGACTTCTATACTTTACCTTTTCGGTTGTTCCTTTTAGGCGTATGCTTCTGAAGTATGTAGAGATGAGTATCGGGCTTTGGCGCTTTCAGTTGTAAGATGATCAATCTTGTAGTTAAGTACATCATCTGGATTCTGCTGTAGTATATTTATATCAGACTTCGAATTTCAGGTTAGTACATCTCGAGGCATAGGACTGATTATTGGGCCTGCCATTGGTGGATTCTTTGCACAGGTAGAAACGTTCCATTTTCCCACTCTTTACACATGTTAAAGAAAATTTTCTTGCCTGCTAACCATATTTATTAATTCATGTATGGCCTCATAGCCTGTAGAGAAATACCCAAATATATTCACGGAAAGCTCCATCTTCGGGAGGTAGTGTGTATTGAATTTCTTTTATCCCTATTTATTATCTTTTCTCTTTATGTGGTGATGTTTTGATGTGCATACAATTGCAGATTTCCCTACTTCTTACCATGCCTCATAATATCAGTTTATTCTGTTGGAGTTCTTATTGCCTGCAAATGGCTCCCTGTAAGTTTCAAACTCATTTTGTCATCTTTGCATTTTCTTGTTACTTTCTAGAAATGGTATCAGCGTATCAGGTACTACTTGTCTAATCTGATTCTTGATCAATTAAGACATACGGTTTTGAACTTTGGGTATTTGAGCATTACTGAAACAGGTATCCATCACTCACCCCTAAGACTGAGCAGCATAGCTGAGCGATAAGATTAAGTTGAATTTCTATTTCTTTCAGTCTTCAATATGTTTTTTTCTTCTTTCATTTAATGATTTTTTACTGGTTTATATGCACCCATTTGCCCGCAGTTTGCATATTATGATTGATTCTTTCAAAAAAAGATTGCATTTTGTATCGATACAAGTTTAATCCTTTTGTGGGACAGTCTTCTTATATCAGCATTTTATCACAAAATGTAACATTTCTATTTTTTATTTCTCCCTCCTCTTTTGTGATGAAATTTTATGTAGGAAACATTACACAAGCATGCTGCAAAGGGAAATGAGGCAGTTGATCCATATGATATTCCAGAACTTTCTTCAAATGAATCTGGTCGGAAAGACAATGTGGTAGAACTTGAAGACAGACAGATTGACAAGCCAAATCTCTTTAAAAACTGGCCACTAATGTCTACTATCGTAGTATACTGCATTTTCTCACTTCAAGAGATGGCTTACTCAGAAGTAAGTTATATCCCTTAAACACTATTTACTATCATCCAACAGAAGTATGAACTTCTCACGTTGTTTAGTATTCATCATGATTCATTTCCACATATTCTATACTGGAGTTGTTTGTGTTTTACATAAGACACTTCAACATTTCTTTGCAGATATTTTCACTTTGGGCAGTTAGTGATAAAAAATATGGAGGATTAAGCTTTTCGTCCCAAGATGTTGGTGAAGTTCTTGCTATCTCTGGTATACTTCTACGCTTCATTATTTGCAATTTGATCTTTTTAGAAGAAAGAATCCGTCTGATAACTTGATTTCTATAATTTCCAGGATTTGGCCTTTTACTGTTTCAACTGCTGTTGTATCCGCCAGTTGAAAAGCGCCTTGGGCCGCTCATGGTTACACGCCTTTCAGCTGTAAAAAAACTTACCTCCACATCACTGTATTTCTTGACATTTCCTTGGGTTCATACATAAATACCATCTTTTAACTTTTAACAGTTTGGTGCCCAAGTAGAAAAACAAAATTCATAGTCAAGTTCCTATATTTTATTTGCATAAAGTAAATTAACGCAATGGACCAATGGCAGATCAGCAATTAGAAAATATTTGACATGACACATGGCCGATCAATATCGATCAACCATGCCACATCACCATTGTATGTGATACCAATATTATTTAATTCTTTTTCAGTAAGATAGCAAGTTGATGTTACATTTTTCTTCTTTCATCTTCAGGCAATATCAATTCCATTGCTGTCATGTTTCCCCTATATAGCACTGCTTTCAGGGGTAGTGCTACATTTGGTGATAAATTGTGCATCCATATTAAGAAATACTCTATCTGTAAGTGAAACTAAATACAGGGAAATGAACCAGACATGCTTCCTTTGGAACTGTTCTTCCTCTGTTTCTCGATTTGTGAGGCAAATTCATTGGTGCTATGCAGGTTTCACTCGTTACTGGACTATTCATATTGCTGAACAATGCAGTGGTATATTCTCTGCCCATATTTGATTTTATTTTCTTCATGTTTACACTGATAATCATTACACTTTCTGGTTTCAACATTGTTTATTTATTTCAGCCTCAAAATCAAAGAGGAGCTGCTAATGCCATCTCAATAACTGCAATGTCTGTTTTCAAAGCATTTGGTCCAGCAGGAGGAGGAGCCCTGTAAGTACTATTTTCTCCCCCTTTTCAACACAATGATAAGTTTTCCCTTTCTTTGTTTATCATCTTCTTCCCTTCTTCATGCACAAGAATCACTTTCTTTTTTCTTGATTAATACTGTTGAGTTTCTTCATGAAAATGTAGCTTTTCTTGGGCACAAAAGCGACAAGTCGCCTCCTTTCTCCCAGGTTTGTGATCGAGGTCCAATCATGTATATACATATAAATGTATTTGATACAAGACATTTCTTTGTTTTCTGGAAACAGGAGATCAAATGGTTTTCGTTGTGCTAAACGTTATTCAGTTGGTCGGGTTGATATTGACTTTCAAGCCCTTTCTTGCCGTCGCCGAGACTCGTTCTTAAGTTGTTTAATTCTCCTTCACTGGTATTCTTAAAAAAAGAAAAACATTGATCGCTTCAGATTTCTTGAATCATTTGTGCCAACAATTTGACTCTAATTCCGCTGGAATAGGCAGAATAAGGTTAAATGAAAATATCTTTTAGTGAAGTTATTCCCGCACTTCATAGTAGGAATGTGTAATTCGATTTAATCTCGTAAAAATAAGTTAGTCATATATTTTATTATTTAATTTTTTTTCATTTTATGATAAAGTATAATTTTTCAAATTTCTATTCAAATTTAACTGTAATATTTTATAATGTTATGACACAAATTAATCTAATTTAATCAATTTCATCTGATAGAAAAGACAAATAATTTTTATACGTAAGATTTATACTTGATGATTCAATAAAGTTTGAAGTAAAACAATGGGCTATTGGCCCATTTTTGACACTGGTTTGGGTTATTATCAAGTTGTCAAAAAGCTTTGCTATCGTCTTAGGTGGACCTGTACTATACCCTGGTTGGGATATAGTGCGTCAGAAAATTATTTAGGAATATAGGACATTTTTCACATGAACTCATTATATCGATGTGATGAGTTTCAAAGGATATTATTTTTATATTTCATCATTATTATTTAATTAATTTCTAAGAAATTCGTCACCTCAAGATGACAAGTTTTATTAAAATTATATTATTTTTTATAGTTATTTACTTTAAATGGAAAAATGAAGAAAAAAAATCTTTAGAGCTCGTCACCTTGGTCACGAGTTCCTGTAGCCTAAAATGAAATTTTTGTTTTCAATGTAGTTGTTTTTATCTTTTTAATGTGAGGAGTTCGAATGGTCATATTGATATATGATTGAAAAGTTAAGCAAATTGTAATACTTTTTGTTTAAAAGAACAACGAACTATAAACGTTAAATTAAACCATTAAATATTACATTATAGAGACAAAAACAACGAACCGTGAACATGACATTACAAAGAAGAAAACAACAAACTTAAACTATAGTAGTATTCGGTATGATGTTTTAATCTTCGTAATTAGTAGACTCGTCATAAATACTATTAAGAAGAAAACAAACCGTCATCTGTGTTTGTTTCTTCATCATTTGTCTAAGTTGGTGGGATATTCAAAATGAAAATAACATTCTCAACCGTACGAGCAAGGTCAAGATTAGCGAACTCTACAAACAAATTGACATTAGACAAAGAATGATAGAAGTATGTCTCAATCATACCAGCAAGGTTGATATCATCCCTTAGATGAAACGTCGTGCATGATAGTGGAAATCTATAGTATAACAAAGATATTCTTCTATTGCTTCCGAGTTGAACCCTTGTTTCTATATTGAACTTCAACTCGTTTAGTTGAATTTTTTTGAAACATATGGTTAAAGATTTGCAATAAAAAAAGTTGTTGCACGAATAGTTGAATGCTCTGCGAGGTTGGGCACAATCACCAACCTCTAGTCACCCCCAAATATAGAGTTGGGTATACAGGCTACCCGTTTGTTTAGCCCACGAGTTTTGACGGTGCGGGCTTAAACGGAGCGGTTTAAAAAGCCTACAATCATAAAATATTTTGAAATCTATGGCCCGCAACCCGTCCATTTAACTCGCGGGTTAAACGGGTTTACCCTCGGCACGTTAAATAAAAATAATTTTAAATGCTTTAAATTCAATAAAAAATAATGTTCTAACTTGTTACACCGTTAAAAAAATAAATAATATTTAAATTTTATTTTAAATAGCCAGAAATGATTATAAAATAATATTTTTTTAATTTTTTAATCATTAATATATATATATAACGATAAAATTACTTAAACTCAAATTAAAAAAACAATATTCACTTATATCACCAAATTGAAAAACAAATAAAACAATAATCACATTATACTTTTATAAAACACTATTATTCAATGCTATAATATGAAGACACAAAAGTGTCTACAGGCAGAAATTCAAACAGAAAATTTCAATAAAGTCAAACATTATACAAATCTAACAAATTTTCTTTTGTAAAAGCCTTTAAAAGTTGAAAAGTATGTTTTTAATTTTTTTCTTTTACTTTTCTTTCTTATTTTTAATCCAAATATTATGTGTCATGTGATATATTATTAGAATATCATGTGACTTTTTATAATTAAAGAACGAAATGGATAACATACTTCATGAAAAAAATAAAGGTCAAAATTAAATAAAAAAATCTTTAAATACCAAAGTGATAATGATGTAAATTTTATAAGACTAAAATATTATATAAATCTTTTAATTTTTATTTTTTTTAAATGAAGAATAATTTGATACATTGTAAATGAAAAAAAATCAAACAGCGGTAGAATTATGACAAATACCCTAATAAATTTAAGAACTACAATGGTTATAAGTAACATCATATTTATATGTAATTTATTTTCTTTTTTTATAAAATTCTTTAAGTTTATTTTTTTCTAAAATTTTAAATTAAGCGGGCTATTGCGGGCTACCCGCAGGTTTAACGGTTTGGGCTAAAAAGCCCGCAATTTAAACGAGCTTCAGTTTTTTACATCCAAAACCCGCACGGGTCGCGGGTTAAACGGGTAGCCTGCGGGCCTTAGCCCATATATCCACCTCTACCCAAATGTCATGACCCCAAATATGTCGCTATCATTATCCAGTTGCAACACATGACATAAACTATAATGCCATGAGAAATCCTGAGATTCCTGTTATGCAGGATATATGCGCAGCCCACTGGGGTTCCTCAGACGACAGATCAATAGAGTTGGCAATTGGGTTCCAGTTTGAAACTAAGAAAGATGCCCAACTAGCAGTGAAGGAATTTTGTATCAGAGCTCATATAGAATTCAATGTGTTGGATTTTGATCAGAAGATATATTTTGTTAAATGTATAAACAACAATGTCGGATGTAAGTGGATGATATGTATCTCATACCTATAACGAAAGATATTGTGGCAAGTGACAAGGTTTCACTCTCAGCACAGTTGTACGTTGAGCTCCTCGACACAAGACCACAAGCACTTAGATTCTAATGTCATATGTGTATACCTGCATACGTCATGCTTTTAATAGAGAAAAATCCAATGATCCCAGTTTTAATGATAGTGACATCAATCTGGAACACATTTGGTTATATTTTGTCTTACTAAAAGTCATGGATGACAAAAAGGAAAGCTATGACACTATTGTACTGTGATTGAGATCAGTCATACAATGAGCTCCCACATCCATTGAATGCACGCAATGAAATTTTTCATCCCAGTAACCATTGTTTGTTCTTATGCTTATCCTACAACCACATTTAATGGACATGTTATCCCAGGAAATAGAGTTTTTGGATGCTTCTTCTGGGCTTTCCAGTCATCCATTGAAGTTTTTTGTTACTGCAAACAAATGGTTCAAATGGATGACACTTTTCTCTATGGATTATACAAACATGTCCTAATGATAGTTGTTGCACAATATGGTAACAAAAATATTTTCCCCATTGCCTTTGCCATTATTAAAAATGAGTTCGAGGAAATGTGGAATTTATTTCTGACAAACTTGAGTTCTCATGTTGTCACCTAAGATGAGGTTTGTATGATCTCATACTGTTCATCTGGGTTATTTGCCACGATTGAAGGACCGGGAAGTATGTGGTCACCTCCCCATGCATTTCTAGTTTATTGCATACATCATATTGCATCCAATGCTATGACAAGGTTTAAGAATAAGAAGATCAAGAAAGAGATTATCAACATGAGTAACTTATTATTTTGTTTTCCTTTATTTATGTTCTTAATTTATTATTGTACTTAAATCTAACTTTTTTTTTTCAGGATATGCTTTACTACAACCGAACTTCTGTCAAGGCTGAAAAATCTGAGGAAATATGGAGAAGAAGTTTATAACTTTGTAGTTGAAATACCTCGAGAAAAATGGTCACATGCATATGACAATCAAGGTCGACGTTACTATCATATGACAATCAATCTTACCGAATGTATTAATTTAGTTCTTATAGGGACTAGACATCTTCCTATAGCAAGTATTGTTAGATTGGGCATACAAAAGTGCCCAAGTAGAGACAATGATCAATGAAGGTGAAAATTGGGCTCCATATCTGGAGAAAATAATTAACAAAAAACAAACACATGCAACATCAGTGAATGTTCATAATTTCGCCTGACTCGATTCTGATTATGTTGTCCAAGTACATGTTCGACCACATGAGGGTGAGAATTCTGCCACATACACCAGTAATCTCAATAGAAGATGGTGTGATTGTTGTTGATTTCAAGGCTTCATATACCCATGCACTCACGCGGTTGCCATATGTATGCATGTGAATGTAGACCCATACTCGTACGCTAATGATTGTTATAACATGAATACTATGCGCAACATATACAGTTGTGACTTTAAGTATCTCCCAAATGATTAATATTGGCCACCAACTGTTTATGGAGAATGGTTGCCCAATCCATAATTACGAAGGAAGTTGAGGGGTCATCCTGAATCTAGTCGAATTCATACTGATATAAATAATCCTTAACGAGAGCAAGGTCTGCCAAAGATTTGTGGCCATTGCAGAGGTGAATGCCATAACAAAAAACATTGTCCATATGTTCCAAAATATCGATCGGGCAGATAAAACCTTCATAAGTATTCCCATATTGTATGTTATATTTGTTTTGAATAATTTATCAATATCAATAACCATCTTTATTTTTTACTTTTCATATATAAATACAAACTATTCATAAATAGCGTTTAACTACACTTAAATTCATACATATATATAACATTTTTTTAACAAAATAAACAACTTTTCTTTTTTTTTTCTTTTAATTTTTACATTATTATTTTTCTTTTTTTTCCATTCATCTTAATAAGTCGTTTATTGTGTCGGTTTGGTAAGTCTTCATTCTTCTTCTTATGTTGATCAATAATTGACTTTAGAGAAAATAACGTCAGTGACAAAAAATGCCTTATAATATATGAATTTAACCAACTTTTTTTGGATTTGCCAAAATGACCAACAAATTCGCAACGCGAATTCCAATTTCGCAACCCAGTTTCCAATTTCGCAACGCGAATATGTAAATCGGATTGCGATTTTTCAAATTTGCAACGCAAAAGTCAAATTCGCAACTGAATTTCAAATTCGCAACGCGAATTTAATTTCGCAACAGGTTTTAGTTTCGCAACACAAATGTTTTGGGTATATAACAACGCAGCAGCAACTCATAACCTAAATCCCTAAATCACAACTCATTCTATCTCCATCTATCACTCTCTCCGGCGACATCCGTTCCTATATCCAATGACATCCTTCCCCATCTCTATTTTTTTTACATAATTTTATTTCTATATAATTTTCAATGATTTCTCTCCCAAATTATCAACTATCAACTTAATAAAGGTATGTTTTTCTCTAAGTTAGTGATGATATCTAGTTTATAGCTCGTTTGTTTAGTAAATTAATTTACAATTTTTAGAATGAAATCATCTAATGTTGATCATGTTTGGATAGATTTGTGTTTTGGAGGGTCATGGGAGAATGTTCATTGTGTTTTACAATATGTGCCTTTACCCATGAATTTTCAACTAAAACTGTCATTAAAAAAGTTAACTTATAAAACTCTAATGTTACGTGTTGCAAAGAAATTGAATTTAGAGCCTCTAAGTGGATTTAGGCTATCTTATCTGAGAAAAGGTAAAGTTTATTTGTTAACCGATAATGAAGACGTTGAACGATTCATTTCTTACATTAGTGTTTTGCAAGAAGATAATGTTACATTATATGTTGTTGAACCTAGAAGTAGTGAAGTTGGGTCAGTAGTGGGTAATCAACTAAGTTCTTCAACCCAAAATTTAATGGTTCCACCACAATTTCATCACCAAGCAAATTTTGTTTCACCACATTTCCAATACCAAACACAATATCAAACACAATCTCAAAACCCACAACCTTTTCCTAATCCAAATCCCAATCAACTTTCAGCATCAAATTCTGGTTTTCGTATTGACCAGTTAGACGATTATGAGCCAACAAAAAAATTTGTGAGTACTAGTTAGTATTCGAAATTTGATCTTGGTCAATACCTGGACTTTGATCTTGGTCAATACTCGAATTTTAATGATGTGATGGAAAAAGAAACAGACCCTACATGTAATAATTTTGATATTGGTCAATACCAGAATTTTGATGATGAAACAGCTGCTATCGAGGAAGATTTTTTTGATGATAATGAGGAAGAAGTTACGATTGTGAATGAACATGTTGAAAATACATTCTGTAATTCATATAACCCTGAAGAAGAAAAATAAGAAGGAGAAGAAGTCCCCGAAGAAAGGAAAAAGAAGAAAATTCCACGGGAGTATAACTGGAATATGCCAGAATTACTTCAGATACCGGAAGAAGAGTTGGTAAAGATATCAGTTGATTGTTACACAAAAGTTATTCGTATCAAGAAAGATGATTGTTTTGATACAAAGGAAGACTTGAAGATAGCTTTGTATACGAAATGTGTGGAAGATGGCTATCAACTAAGAGTTAACAAATCAAGCAAAGATCGTTTCGAAACAAGGTGTATGATTGACAAAAATTGTACGTGGCGTATGATTGCAAAGAGGATAAAAGATTGCGAAATGTTTCAAGTTAGGACTTTTATTGATAAACATACATGTTCAAGAACCCAAGTTTTTCCTCACCATAGACAGGCAAACAAAAAGGTGTTGGGTGGTTTTCTTGCTGAGTTAATGTTTTTGAATGGAAATGTGTATCGAGGACATGAAATTATGACTGACATGAATGCTCGATTCAAGATTAGTATCTCATATTCTCAAGCTTGGAGAGCCAAATGTTATGTCTTGGAATTGTTGAGGGGGTCTCCAGAAGCATCGTTTGCCCAACTGTCGGCTTATTGTCACAATTTAAAGCTGAAAAATCCTGGGTCGGTAACTCATATCAAAACATATAGAGATGGACGCTTTGAGTTACTGTTTATCGCCATTGATGCTGCGGTTAGTAAATCATTATAATTTTGTTGACTCATTTTTGTTAGTTGCATGCATTTCACATTTAAATGATTATATTTCTTGTGTATATGATTTTGTAGATTCGTTCATTTGTTACTTGCATGTGCCCAATTATTATAGTTGACGGAGCACATTTGAAAGGTCGATACCTTGGTGTAAACTTATTAGTAGTAGGCATGGATGCTAACATTGGGATACTGCCAATAGCTTACGGGGTTGGCAAATCTGAAACCTCTGATTCATGGACATGGTTTATAGGGCATCTTAGGGATTGCATAGGTCTTATTAGCAATATGACAATCATATCCGATAGGGCAAACTCAATTGACAACGTTGTTAGAAGGTGTTTCCCAGATGCTTTTAATGGACTTTGTGGTGTTTATTTGTACAGAAATCTAAAATCAATGTCTGCTGGTATAAAAAATCACAAATGGACATACTGGAAAGCTGTAAAAGCTTATCGGGAAGTGGATTTTAATAAGCATATAAATTGTTTAAGACGTGTTTTGCCTCAATGTGCTCAAACACTAGAAGATGTCGGGTTTGAAAGATGGTCAAGAGTACATCAACTTGGAGCAAGATATGGTTTTATGGCATCTAATAGTGCAGAATCAATCAACGCTCTACGTCGTCATTCCCGGAAATTACCCATTACTATGTTAATGGAGTTTTTTCGAGCCTCTATTCAATAGTGATACTACAAGAAAAGAAACCATGTAGGTATTATTTCTTTAAATTCGTAACTTATCATATATTTTACTAAGTATTATTTATTTAAATTTACAGGAAAATTGGAACGTCGTGTTGCACCATGGACTGAAAAAAAAGATAACGAAACGTGTTGTGAAGTCAACGTCCTGGAGAGTTGAACCATGTTCAAAC